TTTTTGTATTTGTCGATAAATTTTATTATGGCATTAAATGAGAAAGTTTATTCTTTAAATTAATCAATATTATCATTAAAATAAACATGACAAGCTAATCAGACAATCGATTGGTTGTCCTTGGTATGATAACAAGCAGACAAAGAAAATTCTTCTTCATCTTGAAAGTTCCCTATCTCGAAGATGCTTTGTCAAAAACATGTGCATTTTTCTATGGAAGCTATTTTAATTGAGGTCTCTAGATGTGCGAAATATCGAAAATGCGAGTATTTCGAAAATGTGAGATCCTGCATAAACGCCTGCGATTATAGAATTATATTTTTTTAGTATACGGTGTAGATATTGCGCATCTCTTTGATTATATGTTCTTCTTTAAAGATAGTTTACCAGCATTAATTGATTACTGAGATTGCTATATCTTATTATTGCATGGAAAACATTATTTCATATCTTTGATTTTTTTTTTCTTATTCATAATTTCAATGCAAACAACGAAACAAAACTAAAAAGTTCTTTATTGACTACAAAATAGACAACTATATTTGAATTTAGTTAGATTTATGAAATTTTCGTTTATTTGTATTTTCAATACGCTGCGATAAACTTTCACTTTTAAATGATGAATATGATCGAATTTCACTTGGGCCATAATTATCAGCATGTAGAGGTGTAAGCCGTGCGGCTGAGCCGCCGCCGCCGATTAACGAGAAAAATTTTAAGCCGCCGCCGCCGTGTCAGTCAAAATTTTAAAAATTTATAAGCCGCCGCCGCTGAGACACTTTAGTTCCAGCCGCCGCGCCGCCGAGGGCATTCAGAATTTTCAAATTTTTGAGCCGCCGCCGCCGACACCGTTCATAAACATCGACAACTTTTTAATCATTTTTTCCTTAATTTTGTATGGGTTAAAAGTTTCAAGTAATCATTTCACTTGTTAATATCTATAACATTATATATAAGTAAAGACCAGTATTATAAGTTTCGATTAACAAAAACAAAATCAAGCAACAGACTTGTGTGTGCTACGTCGTTCTACTTATTAACAAACTCGGTGACGGTTTTTCATCTACTATTTATCCTGGTGGTTATATTTATTTTTCATTTATTTGTATTTTCAGTGGTTGTATTATTTTTTTCACTTATTAATAATACTAGTGATTCCGTTTTATTCAGTAGCAATTCAAGTTATATTTCCTACTCAAAGTTTGATGGTTTTACTATGTATTGATGATTTTGGTAATTTTTATTTATCATTATTTTTGGTGTTGCTTTTTCAATTTTCAGAAATTTGTAGGTGCTGTTTATTGATAAATAAATAATTCTGTTTGTTTTGTTCATTTTTAGGTTCATCTTGCAGTTGCAATGACAAATATATATTGTGTAAACAAAAGCTTTTTTATCGAGATGAACCTACCTAATCTACCAAAACCATCGTTCGTCTGGAATCATTTGGGTTATTTGTACAAAAAAACCGAATTAGTTAGCCGATAATTAACATGTTTATTGCAAAATTTGGTTTCACAAATTGAAAAAACGATCAAGCTGATATTACTTTTTTCAATTAAAAATCTTATTGGCATTTATAGCAATATAAGTGGTACAGGAAATGTGAAAAATCATTTAACGGTCTACGAAAACGTTTTTGGACAAAGTATTTGTTCTTTTTTTTCTCTTATTAAAGTATTCTAGTCTAGTGGAAAAAGAGTGATTAGGACCAGAATGATGTCGTCTTTCCAGATATAGGCTCATAAATTGTGTACCTATTGTTGCTCCAGAATAAGTAAGGAGATCTCTGAAAGGTCTAAAAACACAGTTTGGACACATCAATTATTCAAAAGTTTCTCGACAATATTTTGTTCATATTTTATTGGCTTAAGTGTTCTAGGTGAATGAAAAACTTTAGATTAGGACTAGAATTCCGTGCTCTATCCAAATATAGTCTGAGGGATTGTGTATCTGTTCTTGTCATAGAGTAGTGAGGAGGTCTTTGAATGTTCTGAAAAAGTTATGTCAGTGGCAAATAAAAAAGCTTTTGTGACCTTCGTATGTTTCTTTAGAAAAGCGCTAAAAATGGTTCAACTTGCAAATGTTGTAGGACGAATAATTCTTTATAAAATGTTATGGCGAACTAAAATGTACCCTTTACGCATATAAAAATATGACTGTTTTTGCAAGAACTACATCTGTCAGAATCGAATTCTGATGAAAAAATTGATTTTTCGAAAATGCAACTGAACAACAATGTAAGTATTTTGTCAGAAAAAAATTAACTCAAATGTCATATTTTGTAGAACAAACTTTGTTCAAGCTGACATGTGAACAAAAGATTCAGCATGTTAGTTTTGAATATCAGTAGCAAGCATATGAAGATGTGCGAAGAAATTTTCCGTCCAAACTGTTTTTTTAGACCTTTGAAAGGTCTCCTCACTGCTCTCGACCGAGAATAGGTACACCAATTCAGCCCATATTTGGAAAGAGCACAAAATTCTGGTCCTTAGCACTGGTTGTTCACTCGACTAAAATACTTTTAGAAGAGTCAAAAATGAGCAAATATGTTGCCCAAAAACTTTCCCATAGACTGCTATAGTAGTTTTTCTAAACCTCCAGCCGCCGCCGCCGAACGACGAAGGACTTTAAGCCGCCGCCGCCATCGGCGGTAGGAAAAAAATGACTTTCAAGCCGCCGCCGCCGTGCAGCCCCAGTAATTCAAATCTGCGCCGCCGAGCTTTTGAAAAAAAATTTTTTTTAATGGCGCCGCCGCCGGTCAACTCATCGGCTTACACCTCTATCAGCATGTAAAGTTTCTGATTTTCGTTTAAGCCTTTGGATTGATTCTTTATTTTCCAATTGTTCTTGATCAGTTATTGATAAGAAAGTTGATGATAGATTTGAGTTTTTTGTTTGATTTTCAACTGTTTGAACCAGAGATGTCCATCGCGGCGCTGCCGCGCCGCTGCCGCTGCCGCTGCCGCGGTGGCGGTGGCGGCGCGGCAGCGGCAGGTTTTTAAAAAAATCACCGCGGCAGCGGCGCGGTAGCGGCAGATTTTTTTAAAAGTCATCGCGGCAGCGGCGCGGTAGCGGCAGGTTTTTTAAAAAACCATCGCGGCAGCGGCAGGATTTTTTTGGAGGACATTGAAAAACTGTATGAATTTAATAGAATTTCACGATTTACAAATGAAACGCCCTGATATTGAATAAATCTGATGGACTAGTACCCATATCTCTGGTCAAATATAGTCACAGCAGTGAAATTAGAAACACTTTTTTGAAAATCATCGCGGCAGCGGCGCGGTGGCGGCACGTTTATTTTATAATTCATCGCGGCAGCGGCGCGGCAGCGTTTCTTTTATAAGTCATCGCGGTGCGGCAGCGTCGCGGCAACATTTTTTTATAAACCGCCGCGGCGCGGCAGCGGTGCGGCAGCTTTTTTTTTCTAAGGCCGCGGCGCGGCAGCGGCAGATTTTCAGCCGCGATGGACATCTCTGGTTTGAACTTGATAATTTGTAAGATACTCAATTAAATCATTTAATACTGCTAATGTCTTTTTATATACTTGTTTAGTGGGTTGAGTTATTCGATATATGGATGATGTAAAAAGATCGGATTTGAATATTCTTGAGTATTGCATTCTTAACGATGTCAGCGCTTCTTTTGCATTATTTATAGATATAGAATTATACATATTAATAGTTGATAGTATGGATTCTATGTCAACGACTATGGATTGAATAATATTACGAAATGTTAATAAACGTGGTTCATTCATAGCATTTAATAAATCTCTTGCATTGTTCAAGAACTAAATAAAATAATAAGTATAGAAACTAAATTTATGTTTAAATATTATTTACTTGCTGAAATAAATCAACATTTTCTAGATTGTTTTTCCAACGTGTTTCTGTATTTTTTTTCAAGTTTATGCTGAAATGAAGATTGAATATTCGAATGAGACGATTTTAATGCTTCTAATCCACTTGATTGAATAGATGAAGATGAAGTTTCATTAATTTCGTCGTATTTTCTAACAAGTTCATATCATTGAGTACGTAAAAGCTAAACATAAAAAGATCTCTCGAAAACTCCTGTAGAAGAGTTAAGTATATTTCAAAACTGCATATTAAAAAAAGAAAAGAAACTTCATCTATATATCTAAAGAAAATGATTAAATATATTTTCAATCATCTAATCATAAGGTCATCAAGTATAGTCAATCTTAAGTTTTAGATGATGATTAAATTAGTTCAAGCAGTTTCTCATCAATAAGAATCTATCGATGACAGTTCAGTGAAACATATTCTATTATTATGTTTTTGTCAACATCTAAATACCTTTAAGTTATGATAAAATTCAATAAATGATTCACGAGTCATTGAATAAAGTGGAATATGACTAAATCTATTTTTTTGCCGTTTAAGTAATTTTATTGTTAATTCACAACTAATATAAATATTATTTAAACAATTCGAATATAGTGTAATATCAGATTGTTTAATTGATTGAAAATCTTTTTTTGATCGTCGAATTTGTTGTTTTATTGCATTAATTGTTAAAAATGAATAACCATGAATTATACACATATTCTCAAACAATTTAATCAAAATTCCATCATAACTATTTTGACTCATCAAGTCATCAATATTTTTCATGATAGAATTAATCGAATTTATAAATGAATATTCTAAATATAAAGCTAAATCATTAAAAAAAAATCGACAATTATCCATGCTTTACCATATAACGAGCTAGAAAATATTATTTTAAACTTTTATTTCAAAAGAAAAAACTTTTGCCTATCGATTTGTTCTGAATTAATATCTTGTTTCTCTTTATTGACATGTTTATATTCAATTGATGTTATGGATGAATTCGTTCTTGTTGGTACAGATGTTCTAATAATATAAACTAGATCAAAAAAAAAGGCATCACTCAAAGATTTGATTACTCTTCTTTCGATATTGATGACGTTGATGCTGTAGTTGTTGTTGTAAGTTTTTTTCATTCGCCATCTTATTTTTTCTTGTCGCATTGTTGTTACTAGCTTCAAATGAAATGCAAAGAAAAAAAACCTTCATGAATGCAAACGTATATAGTTGTACTTGTACAATTCAATCCATTCCTATCAATGTACTCAAGAAATGTTTCATATTGATTAACATCCAATGGTTGCAATTGAAAATCATATAATGACGTTTCAAGTTCAGTATCTGCTTGTGATCCATAAAACAAAAATTGAGATATGAAATTATCAACATTTATTTTCGTCAAATTACCTAATTTGAATATGTTGAGAATAAGACGATAAATATCATTTAAAGTCATATCTTTGTTAAACCAATCACATAAACGAGAACCACCACCATTTTCAAGATCGAGCTTTTTTACTTTACCATCTTTGGTAAGCATCAAAAGACCACAACGAAATCTTTTGTGCATCAATGATAATTATCTAAACATTCAAAAATATTTAGTAGGAAAAATACATTCAGTTAAAGTAAAATCATTTCTATATTATTGATCAACTTAACAGTTCAAATATAAGTTCTAATTGGTATACTACAGGAACAACGAATGATCTATGATTAAATGTGCGTGAATCATCAAATCAATGCTGATTGCACTACAATGGGTGACATCTAGTATCAGTGGAACTGTGAGAAAAAAATTATGATTGCGATATATATTAAATCAAATGACATATCTATTATATATTCTTTTTGAGATAATCCTACCATCCGAAAATTGGAAATTCGAGGAAACCAAGTGGACTTCTATATAAAGATACTGGAAATTGTGTCTGATTATGGGTTAAAACCTTCAAATATGCTAAAGTTTGATACCATTGATAGACGCAGTAACAGTCAATAGAATTCATTTATTTTTGAATATTAATAATAATTCTATGCTAAGTTCAATTTTAGATAAATATTAATAGCGAACATAAATTGATAAAAAGTTTTGAATATTTATTATAACAAAAATTACAAGAAATAAGGATGTGGATGTGGCGTGTTGAAGTAATCGAAATCCACACTGACGCCCTCATACTCTCAAGATTTGTATGCTAAAATTTAATATGTGATGTTCAAATAAGAAAATAAATACTAATATCAATATCAATATATTATTAATTGCTTATAACGATATTCTATATTTTTTTGAGTTAAATTATCGATAACAATGAATATATTATGACAGTGCAATGAAATCACATATTTCGAATATTAATATGGACAAAACGAAGATGTACATTCACATCCAATAAGGTAACGATTTCTTCATGAATTCTTAAAATGTCGTCTATTTTTTATCTTGTTCGACGAGATCGTTTTAGATGTTTTTCCGAACTGACCTTAATCACATCTACACTAATGCCATTATAATTTTCATGTTGCTAATATGATCCATAGATGAGTGTGTATAAGTCTCATCAACAAGATGCTCTCTATTGAATGATATAGATTGATAAAATTTTCATAGAAACAACCGCGATTCAGGGTATGAGAGTTATTTTCACCCACACCCTTTGAACTATGCCAAGATTTTCTCAGATTTTCAAAATAATTTATTGTCTCTTTCAAAGAAAAAAAATTAATAATGAATACCTGATTGACGGTAGAGATTATTTCGTAAAATGATTGTTCTCTATATTGACTAGTTGGTTCACCAAAGTTTTTATTAAATTAATGCCAACCCGCTACAAATAAGATTTAATATATTGTAAATTATTCGACAATTATAGTCTGATTGATCAAAAGACTATGTATTATATCAGTGTTACATTAATACATTACTTATGAGATTAAAATTTCACACTCACCGATTATTTCATTCACTGATTGTTATCATCTCACATTTCACCCAGCAAAACAAGAAGAAGATCAGGTTATGTCTAAGAAGTAGAGAAAATACCCTTGACATACAACCAATATATATATACGATTTTATCAAAATCCTAAATCAACAGACAAAGTTTTTGTTGAAAAATAAATTTCTTGTCTTTATAAATATAATTATTAATAAGCGTGTGAGTGTGAGTCTACGTGGCGGATAACAGAAACTTGAATCTTCATCTTCACCTATTCATTTTTTGGTAATTTTGTGTAAATAAATATGGCTTTCGCTTTGAAGATTTGATAGAAGAATACAACTAAAGATGAGCAATAGTTTGCAATAAAACACTGAACGCTTCATTAATATCAGCATCACAGAGTTCATCGATTTCTGCAGGCGTACATTCGCCTAGTGCATAAAGAGTCATCTGTGTTGACAATGATTCAACTTGATATTTCACTTCTTGTTTGATTTTCTCAACATCGAAATTTTGATTGAGATCCTGATGATTCGACATCCATTGACGTATATTGGCGAGCCGTTCTATTTCTTTTTCATCAGGTTCATCATATTTTTCTAAGAAGAATTTATGACTATCTTTTGTTTTACATTCGAGTTCACCGGCAAAATAACGGTCGAGTAATTTAGTCAATTGTTCAGCATTGTGGAAAATATGAAAATATGTTCGTCGATCATCGTCATTGTCATTTTGTCCCACTCTTTCATAAACTAAGATGTGCTTTTGATCGTTGAAATAGAGTGCTTCGAATGGAATCGACGAATCGGAATCACAAATAAGAACACGTGCATGTTCGATTAGTTTTAATGTGTTCGTTTGTGTCTCAGGTACGATATTTTTCGATGTAAAAAATTTTCGTACATTTTCTTGTTCCAACTCACTCAATGAAAACAATGGATTTTTGTCGTTCTTAAGTTGATACGTAAGAGGATGTAGCTTAATAGCATGTGGAAATGAGAAAGCAACAATATGTTCGACAATCTCTTTGTTCGACAAAAGACTATTTGGAGCATCCTTAGATGAAAAACTTGGACAAATGATAATTTCAATATTTTTATCTAGTTCAATAGATGATGAATATTTCGTACGCATATAATTGGTGAAAGTAATTGGTAATCGATGTGAATAAGCATGAACAGAACTTTGACATCCATACATGCAATGACCCGTCGAATACACATCAATAATAGACGGTGCGTGCTTTTGTATGCTACAGAAGTAACGATATTGTGATTGACCGAACGGATAATTGATGGATGCTGTGAGAAGAACAACCACTCGCAGTTGTTGTCGTTGTTGCTCAGCAAGCTCTGATAGAATAGTATCAAGGCCAAATTCATGAACATGCACATGACTTGATCTAGCAAAATAATCTTGTACGAGCTGTCGTGCTGGATTCCATTTATAAACGAAAAGATAAACGTCAGCAAAGGAAACAAATGAAAGAACCAGTTCTATATGAGCGTAGCCTGTATGATATGGTACAAAAAAGACGAGATTGTTTGACATTCGCACACTTCTGCAGCTTGATTATGCCCTTCTATGATTGTGCAGAACAAAAAGAAAATTGATTGGTGATCAAGTCGCCATAGCTGACATATACACTAAACAAGCATGGATGAACAAATGCAGATGACGCCAGTGCATTGAAATGATCGAATTTGATTAAAGTCAAGAAAATATCATAACATGTGAATGATTATTTGATCAGCACAAATTTGAAAAGTGAAATAAGAAGCATGTATTTGACGTATAATCTGTCCTATCAGTTGAACTATCTGACATGAGCTTGCTTGATATATAAAACAGAATATTAAGGAACTTTATATATAATAACTGGGTCAGAATAAAAGTAGTACAGCGTGTGGACTACTTGTGCCATTGTGCTTCCTTCCTTCATCGATGCCCACACCCACACCCTCGAGATCAAACAAATTCTAATGATTAATATAAGTGTCGAATGTTCATTGCTTGCATTAATTGATTGAAAATCATTTAGTGTCAATTTTATTCTAGGAGAAGCTCTGTTGATATTTTAATGACAGCTCAAATGCTTCTAGAACATATAAAGCTGTTATGCATCCAGTGTTTTGTTTTTTATTTTGCATCAACATCATGACATAAGAGCTATTTTTGTCAAAACCAAGACTTTCCATATCATTGAATCCTGTTTTTCTACTACATTAATTTACCCGTAAAAATTGGTATACAAATATCTATTCAGTTAGCGTTAAACCAATGAGGAAAAAAAAATGAATATTTAAGACTCTTCATTGAAAAATCTCGATTAATATTACGTTTTATTTTGAATTATTCCAAATTTTTAACTCTAAATATTGTTCGACAGTTTGTTTCGATTGTATTCATTCAAGATTGATTGGAGTGATCGGACAAAATAATAAAATCCTTTCAAGAATTCAGTATGAAAAAGAAACTTCGAATACGATTCAATAAATCAGGAGATTTTTGAAAGTTTTATTCTGTCGAACAATTTGTTAAATGTGTTTGCTTTTCATTCTACTTCTTGATTGTCTTTGAAAAGTCAATCGTTAAAAACAACCATGAAATTATTTGCTGAATAACAGTTTTGATCATTAGGATATGGGTGTGTATATAGATGGGGATCATGAGAAAAAATACACTCGCCCACACCCTTCTATGTGATTAATTTATTTCAGAAAATAATAAAATATGTTCTTGTGTGAATAGCAATTGATAGCGCTCTACTACCAGATTATGCTTATTCAATAACTCGCAGTTACGAACCTAGTCCATCTGATACATCAAGGTTTGTTTCTGTGGGGGAGTGGATGTGGGTGGGTGTGGGTGTGAGTGGGTGGGTGTATAGGTGTGGGCGTGAGTGTGAGTTTGTGCCTATCCGAAGCCACACCTACACCATTCTTACACTATTGAGTTTTATTTTAAGTTGTTATTCGACAATAACCACCAACTCCACTATCCTATAATACATCTCATGTAAAAAAACTGGATTCTTATCATCATACGAAGTTTGATAACTTAATTGAAATTAGATCATTTATGAACGAGTATCACCTATGAAACAAGTATCACGTCGTGTCATTATTGAACGTTTACCTCCATTACCAGCTAAACCTTCTGATATAATTGTTAAACGTTGACTTTCATACAAACAACAACAACAAAAACTCATTTATGAAAAAGCACTACCCACCAATGACAATATAACGTCATCTAGTGATCAATCAATTGGCAAATCTATTAGTTCGAATAGAGAAACAACTGCGCTCGTTAACTATGGAACGATCGAAACACAATAAAAATTCAAATTTATCTTCTGCTAAAAGTAGTGGTACATATATTTATTGTAGTTAAGTTGCATCTTTGTTTTTTCTTTCTATTTTGTGTTTGTAGAAGCTATCTATCATAATTGTTTGTCATTAAAAACTGAATAGCCAAATTAGAATGTTTGTTATTTTATTCATACACATTATCTTCGAAATGACAAAATCAAAACCTATTCTTAGATGTTAGCATAAAGGTCCTTTCAACAAACAAATAAAATACAAAATTTAACATTTCTTTGCATTCTATTTGCTCGTAA